TATGATAGGGTTAGGTTTTTGATCAGAAGTCTGCATTACCCCTAGACCCCTTACCCAATACCCGAAAGCCCTGTAAATCCTAAAACCCGAAATCCCTAAATCCCCAAAGCGCTGCAGCCTATAAGGCCTGCAACCCGAAAGCCGGCAAACCCTAAATCCGGAAACCCCAAAAATCCTAACATAGGGGCCTTAATAATTAGAATAGGGTTTTGGGGTCCATTTTATACTATATTCATAATAAGGAACCCTCCCAAAAATATTGGTGATTAATTATAATTCAGGCCTCTATATTATACAGGGGCGTTCGGGGCTTCCTGGCTTCGTTTCGTGCAAAGGGCCAGGGCTTGAAGGGCGGGCCTGGACGCAACTGATTTAGGGTTTAGGGTGTAGGGTTTAGGGGTTTAGGGTTTAGGGTTTCGGGTATAGGGTTTAGGGGTTTAGAGTTTAGGGTGTAGGGTTTAGGGGTTTAGGGTTTAGGGTTCAGGGTGTAGGGTTGGTTTTAATAGTGTGATGACCTATGTCTGCCAGGTGTAGGGTGTGGTTTAGGGTTTAGGGTTTAGAGTTTACCTGCGCAACAAAAGTATCCTCCAACCCTTTACCTATAAGAACAAGGTTCTCGTTTAAGGGTTCCGTGAAGGGCATTAGAAGGTTAACATAAGAGCTCCATGATACAGGGGCTTTGATGGAATAGGGTCTTGGGGTATGAACCCTAAGTCTCTGTATTAAGGCTTAGACGGTAAAGAGGTTGAAGGCCGAAGGGTTTAAGATAAGGTTTAGGACTTAGGGCATTAGGGCTTATGGTTTAGGCTTTAGGAATTAGGGCATTAGGGTTTAGGGCAAAGTTTTGGGTGTAAAGCCATGGAAGAGTAGCTACCTGTTGGGTTTCGGCCGCCATTGCAACTCTAAGCCCTAAACTCTGAAGCCTTGTATACCCCGTAAAGCCCTGAAGCCCTTCGGTACCCTTAACGGTCTAGGGTTTACGGTTAGCGTTCAAGCTTTAAGGTTTAAAATTTATACCTTAAACCTGAAGCCCTAAACCCTAAGGACAAAGGTGATGAAGCAGATCCCGGTGGCCGTACTCGCCCGTAAGATCGGGTGCCTTTTCCAGGGCCGGGGCCTGAGCCGAGGGACCCATTAAAGGAGCCCACACCATTTTGTGGTCTACTTAAATAGGGACGATGTCCAAAAGAAGCAGATACCCATAGTAAACTATTGGGAGGCAAGGAACAGGTACACATGGATCATGAACTACAGAAACTCGGACACCTTCTTGCAGAGAGACTATATGCCACTGCTTCTAGATGCCGGTGACATGGCCGTCCCATCAGACTCAGTTCTGCAAACCCTGCGGTGCAAGCCTTAGATTTAACCCCTATGTTCTGCCCGAAGCCCGAGCCCCAAGCAAAAAAAACATAACCCCTAAACCCTAAAAACTAAAATCCAAAATCCTAAACCCTAAACCCGAAACCCAAAATCCAAAAAGAGCTAAACTCGGCCTTCTTGGCGCTCTCTGTTGGTGGTTTCCTCGGAGCCGGTGGCCGGAGAAATTTACTATAGGGGCCTTAACATAACAATGACCTGTACTATTTGGGGGGGCTCCTTAGTGTAGTTATAGTAGAATATAGGGTCTAGGGTTTAGGGTTTAGGGTTTCAGGCTTAGGGTTTAGGGTTTATACCCCAGAACCCTATTCTAATTTTCAAGGCCCCTACCTACATGATAGCTGTGGACCTAGTATTAGTAGTAGGGCTTCTGGTAAGTTTAGGGTTAAATGGAAGTCAAAAGTGTGGGCGGGCTCAAGGGCTTCAGGGTTAGTGGATTTGGTGTGAGGTGTAAAGCGCATAAACCCTGGGGTTAAAGGCATATGGGTAGTTGTCAAAATTATGGTCCCTTTTGGGGTACCCTAAATAATAGGTGCCGTATTATAATAAGGACCCAAAAAGGGACCACAATTTTGACAATCACCCATATGCGTTTGGGGTGCAGACGGTCTCGGCTTGCGGGCAAAGGGTCTAGGATTTGGGGGTTCAGGCACGGTGGGTTTTCATTCCGAGTCCATCCCGTGGCAACCCAGCACCCAACGAGCGAAAACCGACAGAAAGGCTTAGCGATCCAGGACTTTAAGGCTTCAGGGTTTAAGGTCCCTAAACCCTAAACCCTAAACCCCTAATCCCTATTTAAGGCTTCAGGGTTTGAGGTTTCTAAGGCTGCAGAAGCCGGGGAGTTGATCTTCAGGACCTCAGGGGCTCCAGGCCCTCCAGGCTTCTTTGGGCATCGTAGCCATCACCGCAATTCCGCAATTCCAACTACAATCTCAACGGTTTAGGGTTCAGGGTATTCTGGTGTCTTGCTCCGACTATGCCCTGAGCGTCAAGTGCTCAAATAGTAGGGTACTCAGGCTCAAAAACCAATCAGAGTCTGGAACTTGGGTCCGAAAACCCTATAGGTACTTGGACCTCATTAGAACGGGGTTGCACGGTATATTACACTGTAATTACATTATAAGGAACCCCACAAACTAGTATTGGTAGTTTTTTTGGCGCCGGTAGTATATGGGGGTTTCCCAAAATAGGGGACCCTAATATAGTATCCTTACTATAAGGACCCCAAAGTAAGGTAATTACCCCTTTTTTCGGAAACTCCCATAGGGTGATCCAAGTCTCCCTGCGCTCTTCACCTCCGGCCGGGTCTTTGCCTTGGGCGCGCCAGCAGGGCCAGCGCGGGGCGTCAAGGTGCGAGCGCTGGCCTTTCCGGTGGCTTCCACAAGCTAAAAATCGAGGGCTTCATGCACTACAACCTCATATATGCTAATCTATTAGCGGTGTTTTTCTTGCTGTTTTAAAAGGGTATGGCTCCTGTTATTCTTATGACTTAATCTTATTGTCATTGTTAACTATTTGTTGCTATGCATATTATGAACTCGTAAAGATTCTGAATCTTACTATTGTGGTCATATTCGCGTTATTACTACTGTCATTGATATCGTTATTGTCCTTGTTCTGAGCTACTTGGAGCATCCGTGGGGCTTAGTACCGCAAGTGGGTTGTAGATGTACTACAAGTTGGGCAACCTGTAATTCGGTTCCTCGTAACTCTTCTTGATATCTACTTGCTCTGTCGCCTGCTCTTTTGTAGACTAGCAGACCGTCCTCGTTCTAGCAAGGTACCAGCAAGATGGTGAGAGAGGTACCACCCAGAGAAGCTTAAATTGGAACACAGCTTGCAACAAGAGCTTCTGCTGGCTCGGTCTTTGCCTTGGCTTTGGTCTGAGGGTTCAAGGCTGATGCGGTTTTGGGGCTCGGGATTCAAAGATTAAAGGCTAAAGTTTAGTAGGGTTTCTGTTTGGGGACTCTGCCAACATTGGCTCACATGTCGCGGTCTTGGGCATCCGTCACCGTGCTTGGATTCGGGGTTAGCTACCTGCATTCCTCCGAATTACGTACGCATCTTAGCCCTGATATACATAGTCATCCCACAACTCGCAGCTTGCACAAAACTCGATGAACGTGAAACATCAGAGGCCGAAACTCCAAAGAAGTTTAACCCCGCCAACGCCTTTTGAGCCTCTCAACGTCTCTGAAACCCTCAAGCCCCTATAAAGGCCCTAGCGCCCACAGAATTCTCCTGAGCCCTCTTCCTATGCCCCAGAGCCACAATTGAAACCCTGCAAACTTCCTCTGGTAACCGTCTAAAGCCCTATGAAACCGCATGAGAAAAATCCTAGCAAACTCTCTCCAAAGCCCTAGAAAACCCTATGATCGAGCTCCATGAACCCGAACTCTGGGATGCCGACGCCAGCGGGCGAGGCCGCTTTTGGTGCCGACACGGCAATATTGGGCTTCGCTGGGCTCGATTTCTCGGCCATGGCTTCGCAGAGGAGTCTGCAAGACCCTGAACCCAAAGCCCAAAGCCCTTCACCAGCAATGTGAGCTCCTTTCTTGAGGTATCCTCACTGTGTCGCCTAGTGTTGAAGTCGAGGAAACACCTCAGTTTAGTGCAACACATGTAGCCGCCAAACCATAATGCAGTTTGTTCTACAGTGTCTTGATTATTGGTGACCGGCTCATGTTATAGCGCATCGGATCATCACGGGCATGGTGCTTGGAGTCCCGGCTATATCCTGAAAAGCATGACCCATGACTGGCCCAAATGGCGGAGGTGGATAAGGTCTGCCGTCCACGCCCGCCTTTGGGGGCTTTACCGAAATCAGGGTTTCAGGCTTAGGGCATGCAGAGCAGAGCACGCTCCAGTGATGACAGGTCATGTAGGAGCCTTATAATAATTAGAAAAGGGTTTAGGGGTCCTTTATACAAAAGCAAGGAACCCCCCAAGATAGTATAGGTAATTACTTAGGCCCCTACATTATTTCAGCTCTACTGGCCTCAGAAAGAAACCGAACTGCAAAGTTACAAACATGTGGGTTAAACTTCTACCAAGACGCCATCACAGGAGCCTCGAAAAAAATGATCCATGCAGCTCAGGTAGACAATAACCCTAAACCCTAAACCCCATATACACCCAAAGCAGTGTTCGAGCTAGTCAGGCCTCAGTTCACGGAGAGAAGGGGGAAGGAAAAAGACAAAGAGAAGAGAGCGAGCGAGATAATGATCGAGAGAGAGAGAGGGCGAAGAGAGAAGCCAAGTGGAAGCGGGATAGGGTCCATACCAGAAAGAAACCGACAACACCCCGGACCCTAAACACAGACACTGCAAGGAATAACAATTCCTACAAAGGGCTGCGCCCTCACAGTTTCAGAGATCTTGCTCCCGACCAAACTTGGCATAAAGCCAGAATCCCTGAAACCTGCATGACAATGTTGTCCTCTGCGAGCACACCTGGGTATTCTGCAGCCCCGACCAGGGGATGCTTCGGAGCTACCTATTGTCTCCAATGTAGTTTACCGAAGTTTGCAGCTAGGATCCTATAAAGGTAACCCCAAAAAGGAACTACAATGGAGACTCTATAATTATACTTAACTGGAGGAGACGTGATCCACAATCCGCCTCCATTTCCGAACGCCACATCACGATCCGGTAGCCCTGCGGGTGAGGCGAGAGACCAATTAAAGATCTATTTTGGGCATACTTTAACTAGTGATTGTTGAAAAATTCGGTGGTTAGGATTATTGGGCTGGAGCTTAGGCTTTAGAGTGTTCGAGCTTAATAGTTTTAATTACGGTTTAAGGGCCCCTTTCCGTGCATGCGCTTGGAGGCCCGGTTTAGACGTGCAACTGACAGTGCCTTGTAACGATCGAAGCCCCCTCTTGTCATTCTGCTCCGCTTGATTCGCTTCGACTTGCCTCTAACCCTAAACCGTGGGATTCCGAACCCCAGCCGACCAGCTTCGTGACTGAGCCCGAAAATCTAAACCCTGAACCCTAAACCCTGAACCCTAAACCCCTAAACCCTAAACCCTAAACCGTGACCCTAAACCGCCATGCAGACTTCCATAACAGCATGTTGGCCCTACGCGCCATACGTCAACCCCAAGCTTGGGCATGAGTTCTAAACCTTACCCTCTGAACAATAATAATTAGAATAGGGTTCGGGGTATATTATACTGATACTATAATGATAATAATTAACCCCCAAAGCCCTATTCTAATTATTATTATTATTATTATTATTAAGGCCAAGTGAAAGCCTAAACCATGCATTGTTGCACTCCGATGCCCAAAGCAAGACAGCCTTCGCCGAGCCACCTGCTATGAAGCCGCATTCATCCTGCGTCGTGGAGAGGAGGCATCGATGGTCGGGAATTCGAGGCTCTTCACACACAAACCCTCTAAAACTAAACCCGAAGCCCTGCAGACCCTAACCCTATAAACCCTAAACCTCCTTAACCCGAAGCCCTAAACGCAGGGTTTGAGGCTTCTGGAGACAGGGAATATTTTAGGTGGCCCTTCTGGGGCCCTAGGCGCTCCTACAGAATCTATGCCTAGACGGCCTATGATTACGAGAGGCTCAGAGATACCTGCTGAGTCTATCGATACGCTGCTCTCAAACAGGATTCGTCATGAAGGATACGAGACAAGTTAGACACGAGACAAGTTAGCTTGTTCGTATTTAAAGGCTTGCATCCTTGCTGTGCAGAGGGTTTGTGCATTGAAGGTTTAGGATTTGCGGTCTTAGAGTTTCGGGTACGATCGTCAGGGCTTGAAAAGCAGGTTTCACAAAGCACTTGCACATGTAAAAACTATGCGATGGAGAATGAGGGACACCAAATACCAGGTTACTCGGATGCTTATTGTACCCGAAAAGAAGCCCCGGTATACTGCTGGACACGTAACACTCCACGGGTGGGGTCGCGCAGAGAGGAATACTCCCACCTCATCGTAGGGTCGGGAGGCAGCCGAGATGATGTCCTGCTAGTGCCAAAGGGATGAAAGGCTCTAGCAAGCCATGGTCTCAACCCTGGCTATGAACGGGCATTGCAGAAGAGGGACCAAAGAAATTTGTGAAATGCTTCTGTGCTCATGCAAAGCAGCACGCCTAAACCTCTATACCATAAACGTTTACGTAACCTCCGGTGCTTAAAGAGTTCATCCGCAGTGTTTCATGTAGAAACCTAACTTTGCATCTGCTGTCATGGCTTGAATTGAAGGATCACAGGACTCGGGGGCTATCGTGCGCCATGACACTCTACAGACAGGGCTTCGCTCCTTGCCAGAAGCCCGAAAGCAAGGCTTGAAGCCTCAACTCAAACCCAACCTCAAACTCTACACCTTAAGACTTAGGCCTGTAAACCAGCACCCCAGACTCCAGAACTCCAAACCTCAAACTACAAACCCCAACACACCCAAACCCAAAGCTTCAAGACCCTAAACCCTGAACCCGCAGAGCTTTCCTCGTCGAGGAGAACCTCGCAAGCCGTGAGACCACGGCTGCGGAGGTCGTCCTGGAGATTTACAGCTTCCCCTACCGGAACCCTGAAAGTAGCCTCAAAGACACCACTAGAGAAGCCCTTAAAGAAACCCTTCAAGTAGGCCGAAACCCTAAGGCCGAGTTTAGGGTTTAGGGTTTACTGTTTACGGCTGAGGGCTGAAGGGTTTGGGGTATAACGTAAAGGGTATGGGCAAACAGGAAATGCGCAAAAAACAGGCACCCACTCCGCAGACTGTCAGGGAATTAGGGATGAAGGCTCTAAACCCAAACCCTTAACCTTTATGGGACTCAGGTTTGGAGTTTACGGAGTTTTCCCCAGCAGCGTATGCAAGGAGCGCTAGCTTTGACGAGCTGTCGCCCCAAAGCCAGACCCTAAAATGTAGTGCTTTTTGTTGGTTACCGTAGTGTTTTTAATGTAGTCCATAAAGCAGTGACCCGAAAAGGTACTACAGGAATTCAACAGACTTCTCCAAAGCCTGTCTACAGAAAGAGCCTAGTCCGCATCAACGGGTTTGGGATTCAGCGCCCTATAGAACCCGATATCTAACCATGGCCCCACCTAAACAACAAGGCAAACCGGACAGCGTGGCCCCTAAACTCGCGTTGCACAGTCCACTGAAGATCACCAAACCCCCAAAACGCAAAATCAAAGCCCCAAAAACCCTAAACGCGCCAGCCACAAGCATACTCTTGCACTTCTATGGCCTTATAGTAACCCTCAGGAGTAGCTACAGCTAACCCTAAACCCTAAACCCTAAACCCTAAACCCTAAAACCCTAAACCCTAAACCCATTAAACCCCTAAACCCTAAACCCTAAACCCCTAAACCCTAAACCCATTAAACCCACGAAGGGGCCTCGAAGGATTCGATTCCGGCGCGCAGGTCAGGTAGCGCGCCCAAGAGCCTCGGCGGTGTCGGAGTTGGGACTTATAGGGCTTAGGGTTTGTTTTTTTAAGTTTAGGGTTTAGGGTTTAGGGCTGAGGGTTCAGGGGTTTAGGGGTTTAGGGTTTAGGGGTTTAGGGTTTAGGGCTTTTGGGTTTAGGGTTTAGGGCTTAGGGTTTAGGGTTTAGGGGTTTAGGGGTTTAGGGTTTTCCTATAGGCTCCATGTTATTTCCTTTTGGCGGCTTCTACTTAGGATCTATCGACCTGGGGGCTGTTAGGGGGGATACTCTGCTGCAAATTTCTATCTTTGGCATATCCAAGTCCGGGGTTTGGATGTTTAGGTTTTTGTCAACTCCATCTGTCCATCGGTCGAGGGCGTGACGTTCCGGATTTGGGGGGCAGAGAACTTGAGGATGTGAGGTGCAAGGGTTCAAGCTAAGTATGGGGTAGATACCTTGAGCTATCTCATATAAACACTGAAACTTAATACATCTATGCTTGTCAGTATAGTCTGTCGAAAATCTGCAAACCCAAACGCTGGATCTTTCTTCAACCGCTCCACGGGCTCTGCAGCACGCAGAGAGCCCAATCAGGGATACTGAACATCTAGGAATGAAGGAATAATTACGCTAGGGAATGCTCCGTGAATTATGCAAGAGGGCCGTTACAAACAGTTCAATGGAAAGCGAGTTTCAATCGGACATGTGGCATTTGAGTGGTACCTATAGTCTCCCGCTGGATTGTCTATTTTTGCATTTAAATCCCTTAACTAGGGATCCTACCACACTTCAAGATCTATTCAGTAAGCCCTAAACCTTGGGAGAACCCTAAACCCTAAACCCAATCCCCTAAACCAAAAAACGTGGGAGAAACCTAAACCCTAAACCCTATTCCCTAAACCCTATTCCCTAAACCAAAATCTTGGGAGAAACCTAAACCTTAAACCCTAAGCCCTAAACCCTAAACCGTGCATGAAACCCTAAGCCGTATTCCCTGAACCCAAAACCCTAAATTAAATCCTAAGCCGTATTCCCTAAACCCTAAACCCTAAACCCTAAACCCTAAATTAAACCCTAAATTAAACCCTAAATTAAACCCTAAATTAAACCCTAAATTAAACCCTAAATTAAACCCTACATTAAACCCTAAAACCTTGGGAGATCTGAGTGCTTCGGGCCGCCGAGGCCGCCGCACTCCACCGGGCCTCAACAGCGCCTTTGGCAGCTCCGGGAGTCTGGGCTCTTGTCTCCACAATTTAGGTATTGCTTTAAGGGCTCCTCTTTAGGGCTGCTTTAAGGGCTCCTTTAGGGTTCCTTGAAGGGATCCTACTATTCCGAAAATGAGGGTATCCTATTTGGGGGTCCTTATAATAAGGATCCTACTATTTAGGGTACTATATTAGGGTCCCCTATTTTCTGAAACCCCCATTTGTCTGGTGCTTAGTAGGGAATGGGGGAATGGATCCCTATGATAGTCCCTTAGGGTCCCTTATAGTAGTCCCTATAACCCATTCCCCCATTCCCCACTAAGCACCAGACAGCAATTTAGGCCTTCCTTTTAGGGCTTCCTTTAAGGGCTCCTCTTAAGGGCTCCTTTAAGGGTTCCTTTAGGGGTTTCCTTTAAGGGTTCCTTTAAGGGCTCCTTTAAGGGTTCTTTTGGGGGGTTCCTTTCAAGCCTTCCTCTTAAGGGTCCTTTCAAGGGTTCCTTTAGGGTTTCCTTTCAAGCCTTCCTTTAAGGGTTCCTTTGGGGCTTCCTTTAAGGGCTCCTTTAGGGTTTCCTTTCAGGGCTCCTTTACGGCTTGAAGGTGGGGGAGGGTAATTTAAATTACCATCGTAAGGACACCATTTGTTATACATCCCTACGATGCCACCTTAAAGCAACCCTAAACCCTACACCCGAAACCCTACACCCTAAACCCTCCACCCTAAACCCTAAACCCTACACCCTACACCCTAAACCCTAAACCCTAAACCCTAAACCCTAAACCCTAAACCCTGTCTTGGAGCCCTCCTTTAACAAGGACCCAGGATGTCCGAGCCCCGGGCTGAGGATGTTACTTACACGGGTTTGGGTATTGGGGGGGGTAAGGACGAGTTTAGGATGTAGGGTTTAGGGGTTTAAGGATTTTGGGCCTATTTGGGGGGGGGGGGGTAAGGACGAGTTTAGGATGTAGGGTTTGGGGGTTTAAGGGTTTAGGGCTTATATGCAAGGGCTTAACTAGGGTTTAGCAGGGCCTCCTCCAAGATCTCAACTCTGTCAGGAGTCTGAGAAGAACAAACAACTTGAATGCTCCCCTAAACCCTAAACCCTAAACCCTAAACCCTAAACCCTAAACCCTAAACCCTAAACCCTAAACCCTAAACCCTAAACCCTACTCCGTCTTTCTTCACGGCTTGCTTGAGAACCCGAAGATGCCCAAGCAATCGAAGCGAGCGCACCGTCGCAGCATCCGCCAGGAGTAGGGCGCCCCGCTCCGTGTAGATGCCTCTGGGCTGCTGCAACCTCTAAAGTTTCTTATTAAGAGATTGTAGTCTTCAAAAACCCACAGGGTTTGGGGACTCACTGCTTAGGGTGAGGCTGCATTTGTGCGGGCACTCTTGGCTTGCATTCAGGACCTCTAGATTAATCTCTGGGTTTATATCATAAGGGCCCAAAAAGCTAGAAATCTTGAATCGTGTCTTTGTGTTCAAAAGCTTCGGGTGCTCCAGCAAAGGATACAGGGTCTAGCTGGCCTTCATGGCTTTTCAGGACAAGCCTCTGACTCTAACTGACTGCAAGTGGCTTCTGCAGGCACAAGGCTGGCATTGAACAAACCTGCCCTCTGTCCGCGCTGAAGCGGGCACTCCAATAAAGGTTCGTTCGGGGTTTTACTATGCTTTGAAACCTTCGTGAATCCCGTAGGTGCGGGGCATCGGGGGCTAGAGAGTTCAGCCCTAAACCCTAAACCCTAAACCCCAACCATCAACTCCAAATCCTGAACCCATGCACGGCGAGGCTGAGGACGGGTCCATCTGCAAAGAGTATGACGTCAAACTGGTCCTGGCTGTGTTGGCACCGACAACTGTCAACTCATGGCTTAGGGTTTAGGATTTACCCTGGGGCTCGAAATAGCCCAATGTAGGTACTATTTACAGACTTTAGACCCCAAAGTAGGTACTATTTGTATACTTGGAGCCCTATAGGGGTAGGATTTACGATGATGAACGAAACTTACCCGTGACACGTAGGGATCTTAATAAAGCTTCTTGAAGGAGGGGGTTTATCCACAAGGCCTGTGGCAAGTCATCCTGTGCCCGAATATGTTCACCCGCAGGCCCTGTAGATCACACTCGATCAGGCCGCTCGGCAGTGCTTGGTAGGTCATCCGCACCTAAACCCCCAAAAATAAGTCAAGTACTGGCAACACACCTACACAAGGCGATTATTCCGTATACTTTGGGGGTCCAGGTATGCCCTGAATTCAGGCTTCTGATTTCTATCTTGTTTTCGTGAGGGTTCCGATTTATCTGTTCGAGGGCATAGCTGCAGTAACCAGCTTTGGGACTATCAACTCGGTTTGGGGTTTAGGGGTTTGGGGTTTGGGGCTTTAGGGTAACGGTTAAGTCTATCGGCGTCCGGCGGTCTTTCTCTCAAAGCCACAGCCAACCAGAACTTCATCGAGGCTAAAAGCCTGAAGCTGTTTTGGGGCTGCAACACAAGCCCAAACAAGCTGTCAACTTTGAGTAAGATACAGTAGGGCCCAATCAAAATCACAGAGTTTGGGGGAGCAAGATACAGCAGGGACCAATCAAAATCACAGGGTTTGGGGGAGTGTATGAGACTGCAGTGCTGGATGGGCAGAAAGAACTTCTGAAATGGTGGCTCGGTGCTGCAGCTTCTTCACTGGGAACTGCTGGCAGTATAGCGGTACTCCCGCGAAACAACAACTTCAAACATCATGATTACTGGTGCCGCCATTCTACGTACAACTGCTGATCCTGCTAGTGTTGATGATCTCTTGTCTTGAACCTCTAGCTGCAGTATCACAATAGCAACAGTCTGTTCCCCTATAGTTACAAAAAACACAACAACACTGGCATTTTACGGCTTTGCGGAGACAAGACAAGAAACACATCTTAAGTCCGAGACCTCGAAGCCTGCAGACCTTCACCTCCCTTACTCTCCGATCTTTGCCAGGCTAGTTTATCAAGCTGAGCCAAGGAACAGCTTCAACTCCTAAGCCCTTCAGCCCTATACTTCTAGCCCCATAAAGCCCTAAGCCGTATACTCAACCAACACGCCCCATCCCGCAGAGGCCTTGTGTCGGTAGCTCCGCCGCCCGGCCGGCAGCCACGGGATGCTGCGAATCTCCACAGTCGGAGCGTTCTGGGCCAGGTTCTTCCTGCCACAGCTTGGGGTTTCAAGAAGCGGTGCGTGAGGAGTTTTCAAGCATTTTCGTGAGCGTGCACTTAGAGCTTAGGTGTTGGGGTGTGGGGTTTGCTTTCGGTTCAGGCAGGAATTTCGTTCAGGACATGGGTAGTCATCTGAACCAAGTCCGCAGTCATAAGAATGCTGGCCCTTCTGGGTATCCTCAAAGGGCCCTAGTTTAACAAGGCGCCTATAGATTGGAGAACATCCCGCATCTCTAAGCGCCTTGGGCCCCCACAATATGTTCAACAATTATGGGTTCACCCCAAGCAAGAAATGATGTGCAAGAAGAACTCCTATACTATATAAGGGCATTATGCTTAATAGTTGGCATGGGCTATACATGGGTATATCATAGCACAAGCGCGATACTATTTGGTAAATACCCCGACCCCTACATGGGGGTTTCCGAAAATAGGGGACCCTAGTATAGCACCCTAAATAGTAGGATCCTTATTATAAGGACCCCAAAATAAGGTACCCCCTATGTTCGGAAACCCCGACATCAGGCTTTCACACATGGGGGTTGAGACGGCTCGGAGAGTGAAGGCTCTGGGTCGGGTTTCAGATTCTTTTGTTCAGTCTAGGCACCATGGTCATTAACTTAGGGTGCCGTTTACTTTTAATTATAAGGGTTCTTTACGAAGCTCTATATCTGGATTCTATGATTCAAGGTCTGAAAAGAATTGAATTTGGTTTTCTTCGGTCGTAGTATAGGGACTAAAGTTTGAAATCGGGTATTTGTGTCCAGTTCCTCAGACTTCTACGTTAGGGTCTGTAGCTCCCTCCTCAAGGATGTTCTGCTGTTTCGGGCTTTCGGGGTTTAGGGTTTAGGATTTAGGTGCTTTGTTGTATTAGGCAGGACTCAGGGTTCAGGGTTTTGTAAATTACGAGTTTAGGGCCCGGTTTGCTCCCAGTCTTGCCTGCGCCGTTGCTCCTGCCCATGCTCCATCTGCTGCCCGAAGTTCTAGACTTAAGCTGAAGTAGCCAAGAAGTCTCAGCTATAGCACCCTGAACCCTAAACTCTAAAAAGAACCCTGAACCCTGAACCAGGGTCTCAAAATCGGAAGTGCACGCCCAGAACTCTAAACACGACCAGTGCACCCGGCAGCCAAACTCCAACAGTCTTGACATGGATCCCCAAGGCCCCAATGTAGGGGCCTTAGTGAATAATTAGAATAGGAGTTTGGGGTCCACTATACTATATTCATAATCAGGAACCCTCAAAATAGTATTGGTAGTTAGGCCCCTAGATTAGATCCTACACCCTGCCGCCTCATCTGCTCGAGGACGCCCTGGAGATAGGTCGGCTGGGCTCGTAGATGAAAGCGGTTTCGGGGACATGGGGGGGGGGGGGGGGGGG